GAGAAACAGTTGTTTAGCTAAAAAAATATTGGAAAAGGATGTTGTAAACTTTACAGAGCGTCTCTTTCACTGCAGCTTGTTCTGATGGCTTACATTCCGTAGCCTTAACGACACTGACTTCGTTTGAATTTGTTCCTTAGCAACTTGACTTGCTTTTGAATGCTTCAAACTAATTGGTATTTTTAGAGTCTTTTTCGACAAAAGTTATTTTGGGCGCAGATCGCCTTGGTGGGGGCATTCGGCCGCTTCCTAACCATTACGGCTGACGCCTACTGTGGAGACTTGCAAAATCCCGTAAAGCTACGTTATCTCTCTCGCCTGAGCCCTTTTGGCTTTTCGTGAGGCTAATATTCCTTCTGATGCTTTCACATAAATTATTTTTCAGCATTTCACATTGATTATAGTTTCATATTTAAGGCGACTGCACCAACTGTTGTTCTTTTTACCAACATCTAGGACAAATAACTGCGCCTGTGAGGGGTAAAACTCCTCACCCCTAACAATGGTACCTCCAAAGAGCCACCAAAAATGATTGTTGTTCAGGCCTGGTTAACTTACTTTCAAGGAACGAACTGAAGCTGATAGCTGGGCTTGAGAGGAACGTAGAGGACAATGCTTATAACTTGGTTAATCGTTTCTTTGGAAAGTAGCGCCTCGCCACCTGGGTCTCAAGTTCCAGACTCTCCCAGGGCGTGCATTACCTCCTACCAGAAATAGGCATCAGGCTCGCCTGGGAGGAATCAACACCGCTTGTACATCGGGTAGCTTCTAGGTTCATTGCGAAGATCGAATCATCCTTAGAAACTCTAACAACTTTGACTAGAATTTTGTGCACGGCGCATTCCAAAAACAAATCAATCAACGTCAGAATTCCAGTTCTTCCGGAGTAAAGTTTCATGTTTGTTGCAATGTAAACAAGGCCATAACTTTACGTGGAAAACAAAAAGATAATATCATGCTTGTTCTGTAATTTTCCTGTTCTCATGTAAAAATCCTGACACTGTTTGCCTCAGGTGGGGGGGGGGGCTTTGTTGTTTTGCGCCAGTGCCAAACTAGCCTGCGATTTTTAAGGAGTAGGTGCTCTAGCATTTGTATAAAACGCGATAGTGCAAAGTGGCTTACTCATTTTGAAGCTCCTTACCTCCCCCTCCTCCCCGCCCTCTCACAGACGTACTTTATTTCGCAGATTGGGCGGTCACGAGGCTCATAGTTTCTATACCTATTGACGTTGACAAATGGTTCTGCAGGAGATTACAAGTGCTTTCATAGAGGGTACTTCTCGCTCCGCGGTCCCGGGCTCAAATCCATCGGCTCCCGTTTAGCCAACCATACCTTCTACCCTCCGGGGACGGTGAATTGGTACCAGATTCGTCTGGGAGGATAAGAACACTGACTTGTACATCGGCTGGCCCCCGCAAGTCATTGTATAGGCCACATCGCATTCAACGAGCCACTATGATTCTGAATAAAAGTAGAATGCAGAACGCGTACCACATCCCAAAAAGGATTGATCAACGGCGAAAACCGTTCTTTCTTTGCTCATTTATCAATCAACCCCCTGAGACAACTGGGGCTAGCCGCCCCCTCCCTTTCTTTACATTCGTTTCCAAGTGACGAAGTCTTTTTCCTGACATTTGAACCCCTTTCTAACATTTGAACCCCCATCGTAAACCTCATGAGGTTGTCTTTTACTCCACCTACTGACGAATTCGTAGCGCAGTGGTCAGGCGGCGGTTCGAATTAGCGTTGCCAGCCAGGATCTCTTACGACCCAAAACCAACCAACCATCTCGGCTTTGTTTGAGCGATGACAAATGTGGTTGCTTGAATGCAAACAATGGCTTGGACTTTAGTTGCTATCCGGAATTCGTTGTAAACCCGCACATTTTATTAGCCTATAGGGTTCTAAACAGAACCCGTCTATGCCCCGCATTCATTAACTTGACACGCTCTCGTTTTTCATTGCTCAGTCTGATTAATACGTGCTTGTACCCAACTGGTCCAATGATAATTAGGGCGCTGGTAGGCTTGGAGGGGGGGGGGGCGAATTTTGCACTCTCGCTTACCCTTCTGCTAATTCCTGTTAAAGTGCGGAAATTTTGCACTCTCGCTTACCCTTCTGCTAATTCCTGTTAAAGTGCACGATCCATTTTGGTGAGACCTGTACACTATTGGCAAGTGTGAACGATGCTCATGACATCGGAGAACCAACAAAATGCTCCCACTAAGCCGAATGAAGTCTCATTGTGATTTGCATGTCTGTCAATTTATCACCTTTGCGAGTTACTGTAGTTCCGCTCCTTTTCCTTCAAACGTATGATGGCCATTAATGGCGCCTACCTCAAAAACTTTGAGCAAGAATCTTGTTATTGGGTTGCACCCAAGAGTGACTGTTTGCACCCGCAATGCGTCCTTGCGAGATTTTATCATCCGACTGTTGTACCCGCCCATCTCCGCCCTTTTTCCCACCCACCTATCCTTGCACCTTGGGTGACATTTCATCCAGTCCTCGTCTACGGCGAACGGCTCGAAATTTTAGTATGTGGGTTCCTTGATGACTTTGCTTTCTATCTTCGGAGTTTAGCAATAACTAGTAATTTGTGATTAAGAGGCTAGAGAGAGAGTCTTATCACTGTGAGTATGTAGGACTGGTTTGAGATGCAGTGAGTGTTACTTAATGTCAAACAACAACGCTAGTTAAGCCGTGGAATGGCCATTGTTAGTGACCTGCCTTTGGGGAGACTGACCTCTTCACAGAAATTACTGGCAAGCTGCCAAGAACTGCACCTGATAACAGTACTTTCAGTGTTTTCCAGTGACATCCCTCTCCTCGAGCTCCTCCTACATAACCACCCTATTAGAACTTGTTGATATGACTAAATGTTTTTAGCGGTATACTTCGCTCAGGTCTTTCTCTTCCCAAAAGTGCTCCAAGAACGTTCCCATTCAGTCTCTGTTTCAGTCAACCTCGAAATTCTGCTTCACTTTTACTTTTTCTTTTTAATGCTGATTTCTGAACAATGAGTTTTGCTCTTACTTTCAATTTGGGACTTTACATTACGTGGGCCCTGAAAACTTGAGAGCACCTTCAGAGCGTCCTCGAGCTCGCTTTTCTCCTGCAAAGTTATCATTTCCTTTTCCACTTCTTTCAACGTCATTTTGTAGGTTTTCAAGCTAGTTTTTTCTCTTATAAGTTTAAATACGTTTCCATGTTATATCCTCCCAGACGGATTTAGCACCATTCACTTGCTTGCACCATCGGGAAGGAAGGCCTGGAAATTGACGTTGGACGGAGTATAGGAACCTCCATAAGGACTAAGAGCGCTTAGAGATAGCCTGCAAAGAAAACTTTACACTCTTTTAGAGGATGATCCAGCTCTATGGCGGTTAAGATACGGGTTAGCTGCTGTATAAGTGTCTTCCGACACTTTGAGAGCGCTGCGGAGAATGGAGGTTAAAGGGTGGCGATAAGACTCGGGTGTGTTCCTCACTAGAACACGTTATCCTCAAGGTGTAGCACTTCCCTCGATACCAGAATGGCTCAGGGAACACACAGCCAGGGGAAGGGCAGCAAAGGGGAGTCCAGATACGGCATCTGGGTGTCGCTTCCCTCTAGTCCCATTCTCGCGCACTTTTGAGCAAAGAAAATGGCAGTAGTACTGCATCTCGCAAGGGCTAGGATCCACCGCGGAGGTGTTTGTTGCAGCTCATCTTCAGAACGGTAGTGGCGTTCTTGAACTGCTGAAGAAACCGTAGCCTCAGTTTCGCCTTAATATCTATCTTCCTTACCGCCGTTCCACCCGGTGTGCAACCTGAGTCAGCTGGTACTAGAGTCCCTATGCAACGGGCAAGCCAATGCAATAGGCTTACCATTTTTTCCAGTCCGGTCTCCTCCTCTTATTCTTGCAGCAGTCAGAACCGGTCCTGACCTCTGTCTCATGGACGCGACCGCCACCGTTTTTGCTGCAAACTTATCGGCAGAGTTCTCCCTCTCAGGCGCATTGCGCGACAATGCACTGACGAGAAACGTTAGCAAGCCGTGCATAGCCCAAGGCATTCAATAAGTTGGAGGCATTTGACGATTAGTTACAGGAACCATAGCCCTTTAGCAGATAGCTCTGCACAGGGTTCATGTCAGAAAGTTGGTAGGTAGGGGTAAGGTGCATGGTTACTCAAGTGTCCCTCACTGCTAGCTATCGTATCCCTCGTACTGCTCGTTTGAATGCTATTCCACTGTTCCTATCTCTCGATGGAGATCTCAAAAATTTCAGCCTTTTTCCTGGAACAAAAAAAGGCCTTCACTGGAACGCTTCCGAAAGATTCCCCGTTTGTTTTCCCTTACGATCCAGTCAAAATACGTCACGTCATGACCGCAGCAAACGGTAGGGCATGTGAGGGTGTGAGTTGGAGATCATTCTCAACCAAAGCAGCTTTTATGTCAATTGTTGCGGACTCAGAATGGCATCAATGATGGAAAAGGGCGGCATTGCTGCGCTCCAGTCCACCCCCCCCCCCATTACAGGTCCTATCGTTTGTAGGGAACATGACTGCATGCTCTGCGTTTCGATCCCGGTTTCCGCGAACCTTTCAACGGCTCATCGCGAAATCGGTCTTCAGGATTGAACTGTGAGGTAGCACTTTTTGTGAAGAAATGAAATACCTCCTTCTCTTTGAACTTCTCGCGAAGATACAGAGTTTTTGTTTCACTCTAGTCGGGGTCACCTCCACAATTATTCCAATTTGTCATTTTTTCTCAACCCGAAAAAGTTGTCCTCTCTTTGAACAGTTCCACAGCGTCTTCTTTTGTGCTGGTTTTTGCCCACCTTCCAAGAGCGTCCGATGAGTTCGTCTGAAGGTTTATTGGCATTGTGCCTACTAGTGTGTTCAATGTGAATCCATGTTCTTGATTTTCTTCATTTCGCCAAGTTGTACTGTAATTGGAATTCGATATTTTTCGAATGACGAAAATGGAATCCGATTTTTAAGAACTACATTCCAGAGATGAGACCGCTAGAGCGGTTTTTCTACAGTTACGGTGACTTCCTTGCACGTCATCCGTGGCCTTTTGTTGTGAGTCGTACTTTTTCAATTAAGAGTTGATAAATATTATTTTAAAGTGACCTTTACGAGAGGAATTCGCGGTGCAAAAAAACTTTTTTAGTTCCTTGTACCTACTCGCTTACTCCTTCGCTTCGCTTTAGGACGCTCGAAGTAAACTCGCATTTTGGCCGGTGATTTATTAGAACAAGCGGGTCTGGCTAAATGCTCAAAATGAGATCAAGGCCCGTATCCGGTATAGGTGCACAAGAAGACAAATGGCACCACATTTCGGTTTGATGGGGGCATTTTGCTGGTTCCCATGGACTGCCAAGGCGTCATGCGGAGACCTGTGAATTCTTGTGGAGCTATGCAACAGCATGAGCTTCGTTTACAGTTGACAAGAGTTTACAGGTTCAACCGAGGTGAGACTTGTAAGTTAGCAGAACTAGTAAGCGAAACTGAAGGTGCAAAGTGCCCACCCTGAGCCGAACAAGGCCCAAAAATGTCTCAGCAGAATCATGTGGAATCACCTTCAAAGGAATGATAGGCATCTTTTTTTGCTGTTCTTCTAAGGAACGACTTTTTTGGAGCTATCATTCGAAGAGACGTTCATAAGGATACTGTAATTTATTTCCAGATCGTACCATTACTGCTCACCATCATCTCTTCCTATGGCATGCTATCGTTTCATTCACAAGATGATATATGGGATATGTACGCGCCGTTGGATGGCCAATCACGTCTCGAAGAGAGAGCGCTCAAGCCATTCGAGTACGCCTCCGGATCGCATCACTACAGAGTAAGTAGCTAGGAATAAAGGAGAAAGGATATACTTCCTGCCGCCGACATTCTGGAGATGCGGCATGCACCGTACTCGAATTTAGAATTGTAGTGGCAATTTGAATGAGAACTGGCCTACACAATGACTTGCGGGGGCCAGCCGGTGCGCAAGTCAGTGTTTTTATCCTCCCAGACAAACCTGGTGTCAATTAACAACCCCCGGAGGGTAGACGGCTAGGGTGACTTAGGCGGCAGTCGATCCAGAATTTGAGATCCGGACCGCGCTCGTGGTAAGATGCCACTTGCCACTGCACCACTTCCGCCTCAGTTAGATGAATAAGTTTGGAAAATAACGAACATACACCGAAAGGATGAAAATCCTTGACCACTGTCCCCCCTCCGCTCTTCCCACCCCTTGATAGGGTTGATAGGGGGGAGGTAATAGCGGTCTATGATTATCCTACCATATCTCAAATGAGTTGCAAAAGCTCATCAAAGAATTTCGGTCACCCATCTTAGTTCGAACTCCTTGCGATAGATATCGCTGCATTTATGCATTTTTCACAACCACTGGGTAATAATTAGGCCCCAACGAATGAAGTACCGGAGAGAGGGCAAATGACAAAAAGATGGAAGGGTGATGACCACAGGTTGGTTTGTGGGATGAATATCCTCGGAGTCTCAAGGAAATGGAAGCTACGTGCCTGAACAGCGAGAGATGATCTGATGGAGAAAAGGACAGATTCCTGGGATGTTGGCATGGTGCCAGCGTGTAACTGTTCAAACAGGGTAC